CCCTCAACCGTCGTTTAAAAGTATTTTACGTTTACTTGATGTACATGTAAACGTGTTTTAAAGGAACTAATTGTTTTTTCAAAACAGTTGTAAAAAAGTTAAATGAAGTAATAATTTTTCGTGTGAGTTCAACAATTTTGATGAATACAATTTGAAATGAAAAAGAATATGAAACTTATAAAAGTAATTTACACGGGTGAGATGGCACCATAGTTGATGAAAATGATTTTTTTTTTCTCAGAGTCTTAGAGACAAGTTTATTGAGGGGTCTTACGCAATGGCATTCCAAAGAGGAAAAATGTGTTTACTTAAAGGACAGCGGTTACAAAAAAACACAGTCAATATTTTCTGGTCATTCTTTGACATATAAAGACCAATAAAACTTCTATGCTCGTTCCAAGCGCGTTTAGAATAGGACTGTATTGGTGAAATTTTATTTAATCTCTTCGAAACTGCAGAGATGAAGCGGGAGTGGCCGAATGACCGTGTGACTTTAGCTGTGATATGCAACAACGAAGCTGTTGTGCCGATCCCGTATTTGAGAAGCTATGCATGATAGTATTTGCTATAATTCTGAATGTATTTTGTGTACCTTCACGAAATTTGACAAGTTTTATTAAACACTGCAAGACTTTCGTACAAAAAAATAGTATTCTTTTATTAATGCATTTCTATTACAGATTTATGACTTCCCGAAGTCTTTACAGAGTAAATCTGAATGAAAGGTGATTTTCATGTTAAGAATAATATCACTTCTCCTCATTGTTCTCATATTTTATTTACTTAACCTCTAGAACCTTCTAAATATATATCAAAAGTTTTTATGTAAAACTTTATATTTTTATCTATACTTTTATGTTTGTTTGTGGTTAAGCGCGAAGCCTAACAATCGTTTATCTGTGCTCTGCCCACCACGAGTATCGAAACTCGGTTTCTAGTGGTACAAGTCCGTAGACATACTGCTGTGCCACTTTGGAAGGCAGGGGGTATTTTGTTTAACCTGGCATTTACTTAGTGAAATCATCAGTGTAAAATGAAATAAGAAGTTAAAAATATGAATGATACTTTTCGCCTTCTTCGAATTCGTAGTTTACAGATGTTTTCAAATCTGATACTCAAATATTTAAACTGTCTAATATATCAGTCCGTGTAATTTTAAGTAAAAGTAACATTGTATCGTATTTAAGTTGACTGTTAAGCTGTTGTATTGTTGGTTTTCATTTAAACGCAGTACGATAAAATCTTCGAGTACTTACTTTGCATGTAATTTTGTTCTATAGTTACGTGTTAACACTCGGTCCTCACGAGATAAGGGCAGAGTTATTGTCTTATTAACCGACAGGGCCAATCAGAAGGGAGGCCACATGGCCTGTGCCTGAAGCTCTAAAAGGGCCTCAAATCTAGTCACTTGTTTTTTTGGCATTTGTTAAGTTTTGAGACATGTTGTTTTTATATTTGTCTCACTTTAAATTATATTTCACTCTTTTTTTCTTTCCGAACTAATTATGGTCTTATTTTGTTTTCATGTTTTTTTTATGGCCAGGGGTCTAAAACGCTGGATATGGCCCTCTCTGAACCTCTGAGAGGGCCCGATAACCGAAGCTGTTGGTTGATCATGAATCACTAGGTGGAATTTGATTTTGCATTATCAACCAACAGTGGAGCTTACAACTTCAATCAAAATTAAGTTTGATTGAATTCGCTAGATCTGAATCCGGCTTTCACTTGGAGGTCCGACATATACTTTCTCTGGACTGAAAAACACAAAATTCGTTGAAGCTTGGACTTTTTTGGGATGTGTGATGGGGGGGATCAGAATTGTTTTTAGTATCTTTTGTATAGGATAAGTTAGCTAGTTTTCCTTTAAGCCAAAAAGATAGACAAGGTTAACTTCCTAATTCATAAAATTAGAATTGGTTGTTAAGGCTGCTTTTAAGCCAGACACAGGATAAGATACTGTTATTTGTGTACTTCGACCTATAAATAAACGGTGTTTGGGTAACTAACTACAGGGTCAAGGATCAATTGATTCCTTTCCAGGTTATTGAAACTTTGTTATACATTTTTTACTCTTACGTAACATGCTGTGAAATATAACAGTTAATATACGAGATTGGCATTTAATTATGTGCAAATAAAGATGAATTTATGTAAGAAAGCTTTTGTTGTCATACACTGGATCATTTATGTTCGGTTTAAAGCGTCTTTATATTCATTAAGTTTGTTTGTCTTTAAGTACTAATAAATTTCCAAAAATGATCATGGTAGAACACCTTTGGCTTGGATTGCCTTTCCTCTGTACACCTACTTATCTCTGGAGATTGCTCTCTCTTGCAACGTGAACTGTTCAGCCATATCATGTAACCGTGATAAAATCCAGATGAAGAATAATTGTAAATAACTCTTGGTTTGAGTGTTTTACTTCTTGGTGGTATAAGTTTTACCTCTGTTAATAGTAATTACCA